ATGAGTAAGCGAACAGACTCGGATCATGTACCGGGCAGGCTTGCACCACAAAATCGGCGCGAACGCATGCTGAAAATGGCATATTAAAAGATTCCCATGTCAGCCCATGCGTATAGGCGCCCATGTGCATGTGTGCACTTCTGCGCATCTACGCCTGTTACACTGGTGCCTAAGGGACTAAGGCAGGCGATTTATAGAAGGAGAAAGAAGCGAAGAATGGAGGGGCATAAAGCATGAATGGGAATGGAATATAAAAGGGATAGATAAAATTTTCATAGACTCATATGCCCTTGAAAGGGTTGGTAATTATCACCATTTCATAGCGAAAATGGGGGAGCACAAAAAAGTACTAATATGCACACATGAGGATGACTAAAGGCTAGGCTGCGCTGGGGAAAGTGGCAACGGCGAATGAGAAAAGGCGGAATTAAGTCAGAGCCAAATAAAAAGCGTAAAGCGAAAGCCACCCAGAAAAAGGCAGCGAGCAGTGTATGATGCGTATAGGATTGAATACTACTTCTCACATTGTGTGACGAAGAGACGAAGATCGCAGATACAAAACAAGAAAGGCAATAGGGACTTGATAGTCGTTCACAAAAGAAAAAGAAATATGAGACAGAAAGAGAGATAAAATAAAAATGAAAAGATCTAATAAGGAGGCTGTTAAGTACATATAGGATGGGGTAACAGAGTGTATGTTGTTTCTTCGCTTGTAATTGCCATACAAATGGTTATTCACAGGAAGAATGGCGTTGTGGATAGACTTAAGCATTTTATGATCAGACAGAAGACTATGGAATCAAGCTTGTGAAGCAATGACACCATTTGATGTATTCTAAGTATAATAAAAGAAAGCATCGCCTCTGTTAAAAAAAATTAATGTAATTGCGACTAGTAAATGGGAACTGTATTTACAGCATGTTAGTCAAATGCGGTTTCATCGGAAGGCAAACAAGACATAAGAGCCTGTATCTGATAAGAGCGAAAGCTCGGAAGGGCATAAACGCGCAAAATAGATAGACAGAAAAATGCAGGCAAATACGATGAGAACGCAAACAAAATACGTAAAAATCAATAAATGCAGGCGAACGCCTCGATTAGGAGAAGTTAGTAGAGAGGCTAAGGAGAAAATAGGAGAGAAATGAGGCAGCACAATTAAAAGCAAATAACATCCGACCACTGACAAGCTACAGTAATGATCCCGCGAAAATGAAGGAATGCAGAAAAGATAAAGGAAAAATACTGACCTATTCTCATAAACATAATTCAATTTGTAAGACGAAAATACGGGTTTAAATTCATATCCGAGCGATCATTAAGTACCTCCACACAGGATAGAAGATATAATATTCCATGAAGATGGTTAATTGAAGAGTATAAAATTGTCGAATTTAAATATACTTCCATGAAAAGCGACCCATTTTCGCCAACTCATGCGTGCATGTGTAGATGCGTGTCTACGTGCACATGCGGTCAACAGAAAACAATGTACATAGATGGCAGTAAGACTTAGAAATGGAAAATAGCGTTCTAGGTAAACGAATAGAATGGAGTTACTGTTTATAATATGGAGTGCTCACATGAATGTGAGACTATTAGAGAGAGAGGAAAATATCGACAAACCGATAACCATCAAGCAGTTATCAAGAGAGAATCAACAAAATCAGACATGAGGATAGTGGAACCTATTTACAATAATTGAGATCCTCCGGAGGAGACATACGTGATAGAACTTGAATTGTCAGTAGTTATGTTACGGGAGGAACCAAACAGACAGAAAATAGATAAACTGTAAAATTGAACGCTCGGAAAGAGATATGTCCAGCTCGAAAAGAACAGGAAATAAAAAAGTGTGCTTTTAAACCATGGCCATATTGACGGTAGCAAAAGGCGCAAAAGACTGAGTTCTAGTTCAAGAAATGACAATATGATTTGAAACTGAAATATGATCAAAAAATTTTAAAAAAATGAGGAAAATAGAGAGAATACAGTTATCAAAAGCGTATTTTTAAGGCAAATTAGCAAATAAAGTTATTTTTATTGATGGATGTCAGGATGGAGAACAAATTATCTGCTGGATCGAGTGAGAGATGAGCAGCAGTAGAAAGGGTAAGAGGCACTAGTTATGATCACTTGGCCACTATGAGGACTATTTACATCAAATTTAAATAAAATGGAATGCATGTGTTATAAAAAGTAGGGAGATGAACGTAATAGCAACCATGCCCTATTAAAGGATGGTGAGGCGAGGCAAAATGATAAAACGAAATTAAGAGCTTCAACGAAAAAAGTGTATTGAATTAAAGGCAAAATGAAAAGAAGAAAACTATAAATACAAAGTTGTGCATGGCGCAGTGCTTATAAACACATACATATATTCATAATTATGTATGTAACTATATAAATTAACCATCGGCTAACATTGAAAATGATAGTCTGTCGACCCAATACCCTGAATGGGATAGCATTCCCTAAACGGAAGATAGCCGTTTCTGGTGGCTAGTAGTTGACATTAGACAGGAAAGGCTTGCAGAGATAAGTGGCCTGATGTTGACATCTTTATACTGGAGACCATGAAAAAGCCCGTATTCATAAAATAGCAAGTAAGTTTTCGATCTCCATCGATAAAAAGAATAAGCAACATAATAAACTGGAGAATCATTTACAAATGTATGCCGGACTAGAAAATAGAACTAAAGAATATAGAGAGGAATATGGAGATAATAAAACACAATGGTATTATAAGTTAAAACAATAGTTAAATGGATTAGAAGAAATCGAGTTTGTGGATGACAAAGTAATTCGAGAGAGAAAGTAAGAGGCATATGAGGCGAAAGTAAGGGAACGTGGCTAAAAGAGGCGATGGGAATTGCAATATGTAGTGTAGAAGAATGCACTATTTCTGCTCACGTGCCAGAGTGATGAGGGGTACCAGGGAAGTTAGCGGCTTTGAGCAATCAGTGATGAAGGGATGCTGAATAATAAAAAAAGACCAATTAGTTATGATCGAATCTATAATGAATTGAGATTTGTTGCATTATCGATATGTGTAAAGTATGTTCTAGGCAAGAGAATAAATAGAAATGAGTAGTCTTATCCAAGGTAGATAGCAAACAAAAGCAAAAAATGACTGCTAATGAAGAATGCAACGCAGCCATTGGAGGTTAGCTGTGAATACCAAAGAAATTGGAACATAAATGTGAGTAATGGAGATCCACGCGTATTGAAAATTATTTAGCCCTCGTAAAAATTAAAAGCAACTATAAGTTTATATAGCCAACTGGGGCTTACATTCAAATATATGATACTTGCCTCATATATTTGAAGTAGATGTGTTTAGGAACTCGACTTTCAGACAAGAATAAGGTTTTACAAGATATTATAAAGCAATAATTTTTTTACTATAAAGACAAATAAATATAGATTTTTAAGGAGTTCGAATGAGCACACAGTCAAGATACAGTTGAACAAAACTTTGTATCTGCAGAAAATTATAGGAAAAAAATTAAGTCAGAAAAGCCTATTCCATGAGAATAAAAACAGGGTTTTTGCCTACCTGAAGGAGTTCAAGAGCTGTAGCGCGCTTTTCGATGTCAACCTCAAGGCAACGGTCAATGAAATCAAGAAATATCGAGGTAAGGCGATCACGCTCTTTAATCTCTGGTTTGCCATTAGTTGCGATCAAATAAAGAGCCTAAATAAAGTGAAGAATAGGAATGAGATAATAGCATTAGTAATAAATATAATATTATAATTGACATAACTTTAGAGTGAAATCTGAAAATTCGCCTGACACAATAGTTCAGACCTGGAAAAGGGTAGATAGGCTTAGAATGCTCAAGTTACATAAATCGATTAAGCCTATGATTTCATTCAAACAACGTCCAATGATACAGGCCTCATTAATAAAACATTGACATCGTTAATGTGCACGAGTCAGACATGCCACTAAGAGTCAGGATAAGATAGAGTTTGCTAAGAAACCAGAATGAGAACAGGCTGATAAGTGATTAAAATAATCACGAAAAAAGCAGAATGAAGGGTATTTGTGAAAAAATTTCTTGCTTCAGTAAACAAGTCATTTGACTTAAATAATAAAATTCTGTGGCCACTTACTGAAAAATTCAGAATTAGAGTCTATGAAACCTAGAATACACACAAACAAATTAAATAATTGACAGTGGCTTCGTAGCACTAAGTTGAAAATGTAACTTTTTTCAAGCCGACTCAAACGAACCTGAGAAACCCCAAAAACCTGCTTTTCAACAACTGATACTGAAGTATGTATGAATATAAGTTGGGTTTCGAAGTAACTCCAAGTAAAAAATTTTTAAGCTCACTTCCATTTCAGGTGAAAGTGTGACGATATTGACGCATGACAGTTATATTATTTTTTTATGACAGATACTTCATGACAAGTTTAATTGACACTCAGGATTATCATGTGTGAAATATTTATTATAAACTCAGACTACTACGATTGAGCATGAAATGTGATTAAATTTTAGACTACCAGATTATATCGGCAAAGGAACAAGCCACAAAGTATGCTAGCTCATTTAGACTTTACTTAATCGTATTTGGGAATGAAAGAGAAAAAGACTACACCTGGTAGTTGCTGGTCCATGTAAATGCATAGTACTGAATAAGTTGTCTGTCAAAACTCCCTTATCCCTTATTAACGTGTAACCATGTACCAAAAGAGTACAATCGGACCGGCCGAATTGTCCCACTATATTTGTGGAAAATAAAACACAAACGTTGCAAGAAATATTAGGCCAATATTACTATGTATGTTGGACTCAACAAAAAAGATAATTCTTTTTTACTTACTCTTAGGGGATTCTCATTCAGATAAGGTGGCTCTCCATCCACCATTTCAATGGCCATGATACCTAATGACCAAATATCCACTTTTGGACAATAGGCCTTTCGAGAAACGACTTCCGGAGCCATCCAGTAAGGCGTACCGACCATCGTAGACCGCTTCGTTTTGTCCTGGCTGAGTTGAGCACAGAAGCCGAAGTCAGTCAATTTTACGGAACCATCCATTCCCAAAAGGATATTGTCTGACTTGATATCTCGATGGATCACATGATTAGAATGCAGGAATTCAAGGGCACGCAAAATCTAGCACGATCAAATAAGAGGGAATGAGGAAATGACTATAAAACTAAAGAAATGTGAAATTGAAAAATTGAAAAAATAATAGTCGTTAGGGTAGAGTGAATAGAACATGCAAGGGCAATATATTAGAGGATATACAAGCATAGGCGTGAAGGATAAAACGCAATGAGGTTAGCAATTGGTTTGAGAAATGCTTGTGCCTCGTGTGAAATACGCAACTAAGAGGTTCGCTCATCAGTCCAGGGGAAAGGTGAAGGAGGATGGTAGATGACCTGATAACAAATTGTTTGATAATGATCGCTAAGGTCACAGTAGTCTTTTAAAAAAGTCAGTCCCTAGTAAAACCACTTTGCGAAGTTATGCTTGCCTTCAAGAGAAAACAAGATTCTGATAACAATTTAACAAGGCTTCACAAAAAAATGAATCAATATATAGCAATTAAAACCATAAAATAAGACACATGAATTTAGCTAGATGATCGTTAGACAATATGAGGCGATTAATTTGAGTACGTCTATATGAAGATGTGTGTATTGCCAACGCTATTATGCTAATCCAGGCATTAGTCCAGTAACCTTAATTTTGTGAATATGCCGTCAGACGTTATTGTGGAAGGCGTAGAATATTCTCTTATCACATATGCTATGATTTCCTACATATATATCGTATAAATGGGATTGGCAAGTGCGGATATGCTAAAATAATCTGTCGTATATATATGCCTATATATACATATACATATAGAGGGAATAAATAGATCTAGATACTTCCAATAAAAATTCTAAGCAAATAAATAAGAACTTAAATATAAATATGTAAAGGGTAAAAAATATGCAAAGGGATAGATACACGAGATAGGTTCAACTGTAGGATCAACGAGGTAATAGAACTCAATTATTACTTCTCGACAGACAGCAGATATGTGGCCCTCTTCCATGCAAGTCTCAGTAACGACATCCGTCAATGAGCCACCATCCAAGTACTCCATAACCACCCAGAGCTCTTCGCCGCCAGCATAGGATGGTGTTCCGTTAGTTGAAGAATAAATCTGATGAAAATGATTAAGATAAATGCACAGAGAGATTAAGATAGTGCTAGGAATACATGTAAGAGTTAGAGTATTACAACACAAAGGCATAAGACACTTCTATATAGATAGATGTTATAAAGCATTGATCAGATTAATAGATAAATAAATAATTATATTCACAAGGTGCGCAAGAATATGGATTAGAGAAAATGGACACCGCAAACCTCTTCGGTAACCAAAGGTTGACAATTGAATAAACCGAGATCAAATGAAGATGATACGTAACCTTTGTGACAAATTTCATCCTCACAAACATCCCTAGGGCGCATCCTTGCTAGCAGATAAATGTCACATGGGCCTAGCATAGTTGCTGTCAGCATTAGTCGAATTCTAATTAAAGACCGTCGAGTTCAAAGTAAAAGTACTGATAAACAAGGTAGTCCTGCGCAAATTTTGAATAGAAGAGGTGTGATAATGCATAAAGTGCATGGTTGCCAACGAATCCACATGTCCTAGATTTAAATCCATTGCTCACTGCTAATGAGAATTAAGTAAAGAAAATTTTAGCCTT